CCGCCCCCGCGCCCTGCCCCCGGCGTCACGCCCCGACCTTTTTTCCCCGAGCTCCTTACAAGAGACTATTCAGGCGGTTATAAGTCGCGTTACTTTAATTTTTCCTCCTTCGTCCCTCTCGAAGTCTCGAGCGTCCCTCGTTTTTAAAGCACAACTTCACACTTCGTTAACCTTTATAGATGATGCGGATGACAAGGCCTCCCGAGCGAAAGAGACGGAAAATTTAAAACGAGCTCCCATTCCGCCATCTTTTTCCACCGACTTTATTCCCCCACCCCCTTGTTTTATAATTTAGTCTCCCCTCCCTTCCTTCTCCTTCTCCTCCGTGACTTCTCCGGGTCCGAGGCTTTCGGCTGCGCCTTCACACTCGCCGCCACTCTTTACTTTCTTCATTATGCTCACAACTTTCTTACTTCCCCGGCGGGCCCGGGCGGGCCGCCTCCCCGCTTTTAAAAAGGCGAGTTAAAATTTTATCTCGCGAAAAGCTACGCGAAAGTTTTCCCGGGGAAAGTTGGGCGGCATGCAAACTTATCACTCGTCGCGCGCCACGCCCTCGCAAACAGAATAATAATTTTTCCAGCGTGATTTATTACGCTCTCTTTTTTCGGCGTTTTTCTCCGGGTCTCGCCGGCTCCGCTTTTCTTAATTTCCTTTCTTCACGCGCGCACTCTGACTTCGCCCCCGGGCCCCGATTTTAAATTGCTTTTCTGTTTGCAGCCGAGCAACTCTTTCCAGTCGGAGCGCCTTCGGATTTTGCGAGACGCAAAAGTTTGATTTGATTTCGGAGCTTTGAGCTTCGTGTTATAGTGAGGTATCATCTTCAAATTACTCGTAAGAGCTGCGTTGTAAAAGAATCCGAAATGAATATAGGGAAAATTAACATAAAAACAGAGTGAATGGAGGTCTTGTATAGGTCAGAAATTTGCGATCGAAGTACTATTTCCTGGTTAAAATTTCACGAGGAACACGATAATGCCACTATTTTTCTCTGAAACGAACTCTAAATCTAAAAAAAAACCCTTGGAGTTGAGGCCAGGAGATGCCCCACGTACTACCCTCAGGGCCGGATTCACCTACTTGACGCCCATGGGCCGCCTATATTTTGCCGCCAACTTCTCATTCGTTTTGAAATTCGATAAAAATCATCAAATGAACTTGCCAGTAGGGGAGGGGTGCATAAGACGCATTTACTCGTGTTGAAAACATTTTTTGGGAAAGCCCTGTCAACACTAATAGCAAAAGTTCACGAAACTTTGCGCAAAAGTTAAGTTCCGTAAACCTTTCTCTGTGTGGACAAGGCCTTCCATTCATAAGAAATGAACAAAAAATTATGAAGGAACAAAAATAAATGTGGTTCTATGATTTTAACTTCCGCCGCCGCGCCACGCCGAGCCGCGCAGGCCGCACCGCGTTGGACGCAATGCGTGAAGTATTCACGCAATCTTGTAGGTGGTGTGCGTTTCTCGCTGACCACACTGTGTTTGGCGCAATGCGTGAAGTATTCATGCACTCTTGTAGGCGCTATCCGTTTCACGCTGACCGCAATGACCGCACTGTGTTTGATGCAATGCGTGAAGTATTCGTGCAGTCTTGTAGGCGCCAATATGTGTTACATGTCGATCGACGCGCCGAGGGCTTCTCCTTTTCATCTCAAGTCCTCGTTATCATTCCTCTCAAAGTCGCGCCGTTCTTGGCCAAATTGCGTGTTTGGTTTCTCTCGTAACTCGACTTATTGAGGGTACTGTCACGTGTATCACTAAGCGACGACAAAATTAGAAATTACTGTACTCTCAGGAAATGAGAGATTTTGTCGCCTTTTCTCGTTTGTAATTTTGTTATTATAAATCCGATTTTTTTTTATACCTACACTTTAAAAAATTGCAAATTTTTGCCGCCCCTTAGATTTGCCGCCATGGGCCGCGGCTCATGTGGCCACCCCCTTAATCCAGCCCTGACTACCCTGAAAGTCTACCTATATATCAAGACAAATTCTATATCAATGACTGACGAGCAATACCGCCTATCTGCAAACTGAGATTTTGCAGAACGAAGAGAAAACTTCACCATTCATGTAATTTTAAGGCTAGAATACATTCCAGCGTCATTGCAGCGCTCGTACTTCTCGATTCCTGGGTTAGTTTTTGCATTTTCAATGAGCCCATCGTGTCTTACGCGTCATTATTACCATAGTCTAAACGGGTTCGAAAAGTCAAAATTCTTTCATTGTTGATGGCCCAGTGTTGATGAAAAAATCAAAATAAAATTCACCTCATGATGACCAACAAATCTCGGAGGAAGCACTATGCCAGGTAATTTGCAGCAAATCGGGTTTGAATTGTTGAAGCAAAATCGTCGTTTTCCTCCCAAAAGAACGGAACTTCTTTTCGATGCTGCCAAATTTCCCCTCGCAAGCTGTATTTATTTTTAA